CAGACAAATGGTGTTACTTCACCTTGCAATGACCAACCATCACACATTTCAAGCACTGGTGAGTCTGACTCCCCCTTTGACGGGAAATGACACAACAATCCTGGCTTATAAAAAACAGCACTGTTTTGCTCCTGGATTGTCCAGCTGCTTCACTGTAATTCAATCAACGCGACCAGGTCTGCGTATGAAAGGCCCTCAGTGGTGATAAACACTACAGTCTTGTATTTTCTAGCTAAAATGGTTCCAAACCAGCTGTGAAAAACATGTGGTGGTCCTATCAGCAGGAGATTTGTCCCCAATAAGCTTTAGCTGTGAAAAAAAAATGGTCATGGTGTTTCTCAGCAGGAGGTTTACTCAGTGCTGCCCTCAGCTGGACTGATTAGAACACCACACTGTCCCAAACTGCCTCATTGCAGTCTGTTTAAAGTGGCAACTTTAATAAAAAATACAAGTTCTGGGAAACACCTTATGGTTCGACTAAGCAGTAAACATGCACTTAATACAAACTGCAGCTTTTCTCAAATGTTTTATTTACGGCAAAAAAAGTTTTTCAATCCCCTCAGAAAATTCTGCTTTTTATTTGTTTTTGGATACAAATGTTGAATATGCATCTATAATGGGGAAAGAGGATAGAGAGCAAGAGAGGATATTTACAGACAACCCTTCTCGCTCTCGTCACTCCTCCGTCTCTTCCGTTTCCCATCTGATGATGTTAGCTGCTGAGGGTCATTTTATGTTTTAAAATCTAGGAGTTTACATTTACATTTTTTAATTTGTGAGCAAGTCACCGCTCTGATCTCCTCTGCCTCCTGCAAATATCTTCTGCTCATGCATGAAACTCAGCTTCCCTGCATTACGCCTTAATAAAGGCGGTGATTCCAACATCACAAAGCCACCGCTTCATTTCAACAGAGCAAAGAAAATCAAAGAGCAGGGAAAACAAACCGTGTGTTTTCAAATGCTGCTCTCATAAAATCAAGTTTGCTTACAGAAATACTCCGCTGCCCTTTTAAAAGGATGTTGTGTATGCAGCTTTTTGCGTCTTGCACAAACATCTTTCACTCGCGTTTGAATCTTATGCTTCGCGCTTTAAAAACCTCATCTGAAGGAATAAAACCGGTGCTAATATCCCAGAGTCAAATGAGCAAATCCTGCTCGTAAACTGAAATGAATGAGCTCTTATTTTTTTGGCTGAAAATTGCCCCCATAGCTGTTTCAGTTGTCCACTGCCCTGAATTAAGGGCAAATATTTACCTGTTACTTTTTGATATTTTTTGCCGTTATTATTTTTACAGATGTTCAGACGAGACATTTTTAATGTGATGTTGAAGTTGCTTTGTTGTGTTCTGCCATAGCTGCTCTGCAGTCAGGTCTCTGCTGCTGGTGACCAGTCTTTAAAGGGGTTGAAATAACGGAGATTTCATTTCGTTTTCTAGAGCTGTAGCCTCTAACCCGGGGCCAGAACTTCAAAGAATTTGTTTTTCCAAGAGAAATTTTTCTTCACTTTGATCTAAATTATAAACTTGATGAACTTTAGTTATTCATTTTTTCTTAGAGCCACAAAGAGACATTTTCACAAAGGCAGTTTTTATCTGAATTCTGTAGCAAAGGAAGATTTCTGCAAAACAAACACGACACTAGATTTTACTCATACTTTTCCAAATAGGTGCACAGTTTCTAGTACCGGTATGTATGGACAATCCCTCACATTTCAAATACAAGATACTTAAAAAATATTACTTTGCAAAGATTAAAACAAAAATCAATGCTTTAAATATTGACGAAACTTATCTCTAAATATTTCTTAATTGATGGAAGAAAAATCAGCCAAACTTTTTTTTTAAAGCAACAAAAATCTAATTTATTTACAAAATGAAGTAGTGCTTCATTTGTATGTGAATAAAGCTCAGTTATTTATGATAAAGATTAAAAAATAATGAAAATAAATCCGTAGCTAGCTAAATATTTTTACGCACCTGTAAAAAAGAAAAAAAGGTGAAAAGTGTAAAAATAAAAGATACCAATATACATTTAAACCTGTTACCAAAGGCCCACCACTAAAATATTTAACAGAACAGTAAAAAAAAAACTAAACAGGAACAATATCGAGAATCTCACCTGTAAAATTGACTGAAACATTAACTACAAAGCCTGTCTATTTCTCATCAGAGTGACATAATAGAAGGAACAGTAGATGCCTGTTACCTAAATCAAAACTCTGTGACTTACATTTAGCTCTAATAAACAAAGGGCAGCTTCATTTATCTCTCCACTTGGCATAAATGTCAAATTTTATAGAAAAAATATCCCAAACTCTATTACTAAATAAAAATCTATGTTCTAATGTTACATTAAAGCAAATATTTATTTGTTCAGGTATGATAAAGTAAGCTATGTGATTGAAACAAAACCGCTTTGCTCCTTCATTAGCAGATCTAAACCTTGTTTTGTTATTTTCTAAGTGCAAAGATAAAAACTATGCTTGGATGAGTCATTATTATTTATATGCATATCCAACAAGTGAATTGATAGCCCATTTAATTGATGGTATAAATTTGGAATGGCTGCTCTGAAAGATAAAAGGTTTTTTATTATAAATAAAAGAATAGACAAAGGAAGAGACAGGGGGGCGGTTAGGGCACAGGCTGCATGCCAGCAGAGAAAAAGATGCCGTGTCCAGCGTCCTTTGCTGCCGCTCTCCATCTGGCCACCCGCCCACTAAACGGCCCTCTCAGCTCTGAAATCACCGGCTGTGCTGGGCCAACTGTGGCAGCTCCTCACACATATACCAGCCTGCAGAAAATTAGGCCACTGAACTCTTCCTGCCCCCTCGCTTAGATTAAAACTTAGGCTCATTTCCACCACCTCCTGGCTGCAGAAAATTTACAGACAACCAAAATACATCTATGAGGAAGAGTCTCAAGTTAGATGTTTACAAATTATGCAAAGTTTTAAAGTTGTTTTATCAGAGACCTGCAGGTCTATAAAACTTAAGGCAGGGAGGAATTAGTATGGCAAGTCATATTACCGTATAATCAAACCTCACTACATCCACCCACATATCTGTTTTTTTTATCTTAACTGATAAAACAACTTCTTTATTGCTAAGATCAAACAAAATAAGAGATACACAAGGAAAACGTTTCTGATTTCAAAAGTATTTTTGTTTTAGCATTAAATGTTTACTTGGTATGTTAAGGTGATATAAAGAATTTAATTACTAATGCTAAACAATAGGTTTCTGGACAATCTTCATTTTACCCAAAGCAGACATGGAAGAATTTTATATCCTTTTTTTCCCCTCTTTTTAATTTATTTCATTGTTCTAAATGAATATTTAGAGGGGAAGTATATTGCCTCAGGAATACATAAAAAAAATAGAATACCGGTAACAAGCAAACGAATAAGGAAAACAGAGGTGGTCTAATAATTGTTCCCTATATATGCAATCACAAAAAAAAAAGAAAACCAATATCACTCCAGTTGATGTGAATTAAATCAATAAAAGTTCCCTGCTATTTTTGTTTACATATAACATGTTACATCACAGTGAGTCAAAGAACCAAAAGAGTGAAGAAAAACTGACTTGCTGTCAGTTAAAGTGCGCCCTCTAGTGGTGTAACCTCTGGAGCACAAAAACAAACAAAAAAGGCAAAAATGTTAATTTCTGACCAAATATCCTTGATGTTTACACCTGGCCTGACAGAACGCATGTTTTCATTAATATAAGCGGTTAAAGAACACCTTGAAGGTCCCGTCAGTTAATAAAACGTGTTCCAAATATTTCTGATTGATTTAGTTACCATTCGACAGCAGGGCAATGTAGACATTTTTAAAACATTACATTCTGGAACCCTTTATTTATAAGAGGAACTGTGCATCATTTTGGTGTAGCAATAATAAGTTATTAGAAATACTGACCAAGATGCATGTTAAATTTGCTGTCCATTCTATGATAAATTAGCTTGCCATCTGTGCTCCTTCCCAACACCCACCACCTTCAAACAGCAGTTGATCCCAAGCCTCAGGTCAGATATTAAAGTTGAATCGTCTGCTGCTGTGAATGGACAAACCTCACACATAATGTCATTAGTCACAGGCGTTAAATAAGCCAGACATGGTTTCCATGACAACAGCTGCACCAACAGATGCAGAGGCTCTCCTCTGCAGATAAAAACCCAGGGAGAGACACGGTAACCGGCAGCAGAGATCTGAGCCCGACACGGATCCAGACAGGATCCACACATTTTCAATATTCAATAAGCTGTATGAACCCTTTGAGCTCAGCCTGTAATAATCTGCACTTTCCCCTTATTTTATGGTGTATACATTTGGGGATGCTGTCACATTATTTTCCATTGTTTTAAGCTGTCTTTGTGTTGTTTTGGGAACCAGTCGCTATAGTCTCTCAAATTAGACTCAGATTTATTGTTATCTAGTTATAAAAGTGGTACGGGCTCCTAGAGATGTCACAAAAATCTGAGATCCAGGATGACAGAAATGACCCTTGTCAGAGGCTTACTTTGTTGGAAGTGCCACGGTGTTGCACAAAGGGTTAATGATATGACCAAGGCCACAGGAGGCCTGTTCAACTTACGTTTTTGCACATTTGTGAGGTATTATGTCAGTATTTTAATTTTTTCCAAGTGCCTTTTTATTACAGGTAAATATAGAGAATAAAAAGTTATATGAAAATATATATTTTCCTGGCACCATGTTCTGTGGTCGAACATGCAGAATTTTAAGAGTTGTAAAAGTCTCCAATTGGTACAACATAGCGGTGTTCTCCTGTTTTAGAGGAATTTTATTACGATATTGATAATAATGTCAATGAAAACAAAAAATGTTTAATAAAGTTGTATTTGATAAGTGTGCTCGTATTATTTTTTTTCACATTAACATTAATATTACAGCCATTTACACGGAACAAGAGGCAGATTTACTCAAGACTTCCAAAGCCACAGTAAAAAACAACGGGGGATTGATGTATATACACATAATAAGTGCAACTTGTATAGTGGAAATTCATTGCTACGGACCCCAGGCTAAAGAAAAGGCTTTATTGGGTTATAATTTACAGGGGATATGGGGAGGGGGAGGAAAGTGAAGTATACATTTATCCTTTATGTTTCTGGATTTTGCTGCGACTGCTGGTTTTTTTCTTGATTCTGAATATTGAGCTCCTCATCCAGACGTTCTTTTGCTCGCACCACCTGGAATAAAAAGATAACAGCACAGGAATGATTGGCAGCTAAAACTGCAACAGCAAATAATCAGAATAACTTAGACAACAGAGAGGTGTGACTCAAATTTTCTAAGTTTGAGTGAAAGTACTGTATTTTGCAAAAAGAAGTTTTTTAGGAACACAATGTGCATATTTGTACACAACATCTGGTTGAAAACGAAATGCAATAAATCGAAAAAGGGTCCAAGTTAGAGGAAAAGAAACAACGAAGAAAAGAAGATACTAGACAGGAAACAGAAAGAAAAAGATGCAAAAAATGACAAATACAATAAAAAAAACGGCAAGAAAAGGAAGGATGCAATGAAAAAGAAGAAAGGGACAACTTAGAGGTAAAGATAGATGGGACGGACGAAGATGGATACTCCACAGCACGAGGATAGAAAAATGACAAATAATATTTGTATTGAAATAAAAAATATGTTTTGTTTTTTTCTCATCAGAATCCCAGATGAAAATACAGGCAAAATAAAAAAATACATAAATAAATAAATAAAACTGACAACATTTTAATGTGGTCTGAGGTATTATTCTTTTACATGTAAATAATCCAGAACTGTTAAATTACCAATAGCAAAAAATGCAAACATCCCTTGTCTTTAATATCTGTAATATGCCATATTAGTATTGCATCCTGATAAAGCATTTGAGTATTAATGCTATCAATATTTTTTTCAACCTAACAGGAAGTGACACTAAAGACATAACACATCACGTCTCCCTGCCTTATGTGAAAACTGAATACTCACTTTGGATTGGAGGTAAAATGAACCTCCTACTGACTTTTCATTGACTTTAAAAAGATGTTCGTAGTTCTGTAAGAGAGAAACAATTCAGTATAAGTGTCTTTCATTTAAAAATAAAAAAAAATGCACATTTAAAATGCCACCTATTCTGACACTGGTTAGATATAATCAAACTAATTTGAACCAATTTTCAAGTTTTTTTGCTGATAATTTCAGAGATCTCAGCTAGATTTCATCATTTAAAGAGCTGAAGTGTTAGCACCCTCTGGAACAAATCTACAGCCGACCCTGATAATCCAGTTAAACCACACATTCTTTCAGCACCCTAAAATCCCCGAAATTAGACTCAGAAAGGCTGGATCCAAGTCCTTTAATAAAAAAAGCTGAAACAGCGGAATATTTAAAAACATTTGCATATATTTCAGAATAACAAAGCAGTGTTTATACCTTCTGTATCTCTTCAGGACTAAGTGTGGAGAGGTTGAGGATTTGTTGAGCCTCCTGTAGACTCATCCCAGAGATGCTGGACGCTGCGGCTGACTGCTGCCCCGTTCGGCCTCTGGCCCGGGCTGCTGCTTGACTCGCTGAAGGCAGAAAATACAACAGAGATCCATCTTGTAGTGATGTTTGTGGCAGCGTGTTTGTACTACCTTTGATCCATTTTATTTTAAAATCTGGTCAAACATGAACTCAAAAATGTTCTATAAGTCACAGTTTGCAATGGATGGAAAATACAAGAAAAAAGGAGAGTATTTTCATGCTTTTGCCGTTAATACCATCTTTAACAAGACCAAACATAAAAATATTATCCTTAGGCTGGTTAATCTGGGGTAGATTATTTTAATCTACACTTTCCACCTATCCATCTGTAGTTTTGTGCCTCTCCAAGTTTGGGTTGTCAATGAAACAACTTTAGTAGAGAAACCAACAAACCCCTCTACATTCTGTAGGACACCCAGGTCTGTAGAAATATATACAGCCTGTCCAATATATACCAGTGGGCCGTGGTATGAAAAGATCAAATGGAAGCATTCAGACAGATGGATCAGTTTTTTTCTCTGCAGCAATGCCAAAGCTGCTCCGATCTGCTTTAGCAAAAGATAATTTAGAAGTTATGTCAGAAATAAAAGCTCTAAATTGACTGTTGCCTCCATGATCATAACACAGTCTTTTGTAATAAGACGACGAACCAAACAATGAGAATTGGCTCATAGCATAGAGGGTAGCCACCACTACAGAGCTTGTTCAGGAATGGTAGCAGCCAGATGTTCTGCACACACAATGAAAATGACTTACTGGTTACTGATCTGATGTCAAATAATTTTTTTATCCCAGAAATATTAATATGCATCTTTAATTATTAATAAAGTCACTGCATATAATTAATGTACACTGTGTGCAGAATTATTAGGCAAATGAGTATTTCAACCACATCATCCTTTTCATACATGTTGTCCTACTCCAAGCTGTACAGGCTTGAAAGTCAACTACCAATTAAGTAAATCAGGAGGTGTGCACCTCTGTAATGAGAAAGGGCGTGGCCTAATGACATCAACACCCTATATAAGGTGTGCTTAATTATTAGGCAACTGCCTTTCCTTTGACAAAAAGGGTCAGAAAAGAGATTTGACAGACTCTGAAAAGTCATAATTGTCAGATGTCTTTCAGAGGGGGCAGCAGTTTGGAAATGACCAAGCTTTTGATGCTGGATCATCGCACAATCAAGCATTTCATGGCAAATAGCCAACAGTAGCGCAAGAAGCGTGTTGAAAAAAGAAGAAGCAAAATAACTCCCCATGAATTGAGAAGGATCAAGCATGAGGCTACCAGGAAGCCATTAGCCGCCAGTTGTGCCATTTTTCAGAGCTGCAACATGTCTGGAGTACCGAGAAGCACAAGGTGCTCAATACTCAGGGACCTGGCCATGGTAAGGAAAGCCGAGAAAAGGCCACTTTTGAACAAGACACACAAGACAAAACGTCAAGATTGGGCTAAGAAATATCTGAAGACTGATTTCTCCAAGGTGTTTGGGTTTGATGAAATGATGGGCCAGATGGATGGACACCAGGCTGGATCAGTAAAGGGCAGCAAGTTCCTTATCAAATCACACGCCAGCAAGGTGGAGGTGGGGTACTGGTATGGGCTGGTATCATCAAAGATGAGCTTATGGGACATTTTTGGGTTGATGATGGAGTAAAGATCAACTCCCAGACCTACTGCCAGTTTCTGGAAGACACCTTCTTCAAACAGTGGTACAAGAAGAAGTCGCCATCATTCAAGAAAAACATGATATTCATGCAAGACAATGCTCCGTCACACGCATCAAAATACACCACAGCCTGGCTGGCCAGAAAACGTCTAAGTAGTGACATGGCCCCCTTGTTCACCTGATCTGAATCCCATGGAGAACCTGTGGTCCTTCATGAAATGTGAGATCTACAGAGAGGGAAAACAGTGAACCTCTCTGAACAGTGTCTGGGAGGCTGTGGTGGCTGCTGCACGCAATGTGGATCTCAAACAGATCAAGACACTGACAGAATCTATGGATGGATGGATTTTGAGCGTCATGGTGAAGAAAGGCCATATTGGTGACTGATTTGTTTTTGAATGTTGCAAATGTTTATTTCTGAATTTTGACTTGTCATATTGGTTTTACCTGGTGAAAATAAACAAGTGAGATGGGTATATATTTGTTTTTTATGACGTTGCCTAATTCTGCACAATATTTACCTGTACTCACAGATTATCCTCATAATATGGCCAAATCTAAAAAAAAACAAAAAACCCCAAAACTTAAACTTCCAAAAATATGAAACTTTGATATTAAGTAGTCTTTTGGGTTGATTGAGAACACAATTGTGGTCGAATAATAAAAATAATCCTCAAAAATACAACTTGCCTAATAATTCTGCACACAGTGTATTAAAAAAAAAAAAAGAAATAAAATCTCTCAAACCCGCAAGTTAAGGTTTTTTTTTTTCTCTCCATTCTCTTAAGTTTTGACCACAGCTGTCACCAATGAGTGTTTAAAGAGTTTAAATAACAGTCAGATCGCAGACATTGGACTGCGATCAAAATAACATACCTGCATATTCCTGCTGTAACGCCCGGGCGAAAGCTCGTCCTACCACCTGAACACCCATCACTACGATCTGAGCGAGGTATTTAGCCTGAAAGATGATAAAATAAACATAGTAACTGACAATGCTAAGAGACTGAAGTCAACACATCAACCTCAGAAGCTCTTTGACAGCAGGCGTTATGTTATGTAAAGTCAATTACAGACATTCTAGCACTAAAAACCCATATAATTTTATCAAAACGTTCTTAACGCCGTAGATAAACACACTACACTCTAATGTAATAGCATCATCTTACCATTTTTACAGTAATGAACTCCTTCCACAGCCGAAATGCCGACTCCCGGTTTCACACATGGACACTGAAGGTTACCGGGGCATAGTTCAAGGAAGCTCGGAATCGCAACATTCGAGACGGTTCAGCTGCAGGTGGTGGAATTTTAAACACCGCCCCCTGCTGGCGGGGAAGGTTAGTGCAGCTTTGCTGTTTGATTCTAGAGCAACCCAGTCTCATGGGAAAATGTACCCCCACTACGTTGGTCCACACTGCAAAACGTAGTGGAGGTACAGTACATTAATGGCCATTTTTTTGTGGTACTGTTACGTTTCTTCTGCCTATATGCTTTCTATTGTTTTACGTCCTAGTCACGTGACTTTCAAGATTCCAGCTGGGAGAAGAAAAAAAAAAATATATAATCCAAAATTCTGAGAAAAAAGTCAGAATTCTGAGTCTAAAGTTATATTCCGACTTTTTTCCCACATTAAACTGAAATAAAATAAAATAAAAAATCCGTCAACTTTTTTATATATTTTATTCATTCCCCTTAATCATCTTCCGTATGTCAGTTCCATTGCGCTCTAGAGAATGTTATATCTTAGTGTCTGGTCTCTTCTTCTGGTACTACTTACCTACTTATCATGCCAGTTGTTTTTTTAATTGGAGGATAAAGACACATGTGACAGTACGGAAGAGGATTAGGGCCACTGAAAAAAAAAGTTAACTGATTTTAAAATGTTATTTCATTATGAGGAAAAAGTCAGAATTATGACTTTGATCTCACAATTCTGACTTTTTCTCACAATTCTGACTTTAATCTCAGAATTCTGACTTTTTCTCATATTATAATGAAATAATATTTGAAAATCAGTTTTCAAGACGTTTTTTTCCTATTTTTCCAGTGGCCCTAATCCTCTTCCATGCTGTCAATGTGTCTTTATCCTCCAATAAAAAAAAAAAAACTGTCTAGATTTTTTTTCATGGTAGCACTTTTTCATGAGTCCACTTGGTTCTTCCACGATTTTTTTATTTTATTTATATATGTTTTGCTTTTTTATGTCTTGAAAGGCAGTGCTACCCAACTCTTTTGGTTAAACAAATAAAAAGTACTTCTAAATAATAATAATAAGTAACTTCTAAAATAGTTAAGCTCCAAATATATAATTACTATATACTAAACTCAATAAAAAAATATTGTCCAACATAAACATTTACATGACTGCCATAAATACAGCAGCATTGCTCACTATAATTAGTTAAATACACAGGTGATCAGTTTATATGGTGTTTATTACAAGACAGTCTTGAAAAAGTTCACAAACCATTACTATAGAAAGAAAACCACAATGTTTTACTTGCCATAAAAAACAAATCCAAAGGCGAGTTAATCAAATGATAGCATAAAACAGATCTTTAAAAATCACAATTACATACTTCCAGGGACATCCACCGTACATGTGTTTAATGCGACAGGCAAGAAAATGCATCACTAATTCCAGAAAGTCGTCCTTAGGATGTAAACAATTATTTTCAACAGTTTCTACTCTGCCCTGAGTGACGACTACACAATGTTGGCTTCACTCAAACTTACTAACACTGAGCTGTTTGTCTAACTAAAAACCCTGATTCGTTACAAATATCCCATTAAAAGACAAATATTCCCCAAGAATATACACATGGACATGGATCAAAGTTAAAAACATTAGAAAACCAGCAAATAAAAGGGAAAAGTTAAGTAAAAGCATAAGAAGCCTAATTGGAATATAAAGATCATTGTTCTTGTCTTACCCACATCCCTTAATGGCAAAATAGTTAATAAAAAGCTAAATATTCTAAAACATAACACCTACCATGTTAGAATTGGATTTATATGTTGGATTTAAAAGGAATGAAACCCGTTATTACTAATATAAGAGATTTACTGAGGAAAAGCACCATGGCGATGCTGTCATTTCCTGAAGCTGAAGGTGGTATAGGAGGCTTGAACATGTTTGCATCATCGGACTAGAAGGTAATCAGTCTTAATTTGTGCTATATTAACAGTCCATTATAAAGCAAAGCAGTGGTCCCTCTTTGATAAAAACATTCAGGCTAAACAGATTTAATGGTATTGGAATACTGTGTGTTTGCAATCAAAATACAAAAAAAGGCCTTGTTTTCATATTTTTATAACAAGCTGTTATAGAATTAACTAGATGTTATGACGCATGCATCAGAGGTGGGTCTGCTGTGAGCGGCTGAAGTTTTTATTCAGTTTGCTTTGAAAATTTAATTCTTGAGATGCTTCCGATTTATTTCTTTGTGTGATTATGCTTCGATTATTTAATAATTTCCTCAAATCAGAATAATGATTTTCAAATATGGACATGTTTCTTGGCACCCCTGGTAAAGATGTGGAAAAATGTTGTAAATAAATACAAATTTAGTTGCAGCAGCATAAAACTAACAGAATGGAAAATATATATATTTTTTTAGTGATTGGAGCACCAGTTATTGTGACCTCTGTGTTCAGATCCAGAGTACTTCTTCTCTTGTAGCATTTTCTAAGCTTGCAGCATATATAGTTTAGGTTTCACATAGACGTTTTAAATCATAGCTGCTAAGCTTTTTCAGTGCTCATTGAGCCATGTGTTTAAATCACTATTCTGCAGCCATACTTTTATTTAAAGTATCCTATTATTTGAAAGAGATTATAATGCAATGAGTTCTAATAAGGTTTCCAAGGCTTTTGGAAGAGAAAAAGGCCCAGTGAATTATTATTACTGAATTATAGATCCTCCACTGCTCTTAAAATGAGTCATTTTTCACTCATTTTATTCCAAATCATTCTTAGTTCCAATTGAGTAAACAATACAGTTCCTATTAAAGAATCATCAACCATAAGAGTTTAGCGAACCACATGTTCATATTTGTTATGGTGGGCATCACAGCCAATCACCTGGCTGATATGTTGTAGGTGTGCAGCATCGTATTGGTCTACCAGGTAGGCATGGTTTAAAAAACATTTCTGTTAGAGTGTGGCTTTGGCAGTACTACAGACTGCGGACTCAGGTCTACTGGGTAGAGTTCAGAATAAAATTACTTCTCATTAGTACGACTTGAGATTGACAGAGGTTGGTGACGTCATAACCTCAGCTTGGATCAGATCATCCATCCTATTTGAGAGAGAAGAAACATAATAACTAGAAGGGTTGGATTTTCTAAAATGTTCTGTTTGATTTTAAGCTCCTAAAAAACAAGATGTATTCATTATAAAGCATTTTTATACACCAGCACCAAGTTTGCCTTGTCTTTAAACAGAAAAAGATAAAATATTTAAGTTCAAACTCAATGATGAATTTATCCCAGAGGGGTTTTTAGAAGTTTTTTTTTTTAAGTTCAGTTGTAATGTAAATTTTCTTTTATTCGTAGGCTGCAGTGTTTGTTCTGCTCAGAAGGTGTTTGGGTGATGCGCTTAAACATGAATGGCAACATAAAATCTTGAGCTGTTCTCTCCTCTCTGCCGTTGACACTGTGACTTTAAGCAAAGATCAGACGATGATATTCCGCTTAATCGTCCTGAATCACAGGGAGACAAAAATGAGATCAAGTTAAGAAAAAAACTGCAATAAATGATCTGCCTTTCTTTAAAAAAAAATAACAAAAAAATGACGAGATGCTCTTTTTGCCCCATTTACTCACCCACTCCTCTTCATCCACACCTTCAAAGGACTCTTGGGGCAGCGGGTCGTCCATATTACCCAGCTTAGCCACCATGGCACTCAGGAGCTAGACCATAAAGACACACTAAGTGTTTAGTTTGCAGGGAGACACAGGCATGCTTTTTCAGATACTGCAGGTCCATGCTATCAGATTGAAGACAAACTAAGCAGATAAAAAACATGCAGAGTTTCACCTCATCTTTTTTCTGTTCATCTGTTTTTTCCTCCAAGTAAACAGAAGAGGGGAGGTATTTTCTCACTGGAGCCTCTTTGGGGGCCTCGCTCACTAAAATAAAAACACAGCCCTGCATGAAGCAACCAAACGTAACAGGACATGTCCAGAACCGACATGCCGGTGTAAAGAAAGGATTGTGACGAGCTGTGTTGTGTCTGCGTCTGCACCTGGCGTCATGTCTTTTGGCTTCAGGCTGAGCTTTTTATGCTGGCCGTTGGAGCCGGAGAGCCAGGCAGCGGCGGTGAGTGCAGGCTCCCACCACACTGCCGTGTCTGGGAACACGTCATCCTGGAAGAACTCTTTCTGGAAAGACAAAAAGGAAATAAATGATGCTCATTGAAAAAATAAGGGGGGAGGGGGGGGGGGCATTACTCCAAATGTCCACGAGGGGGTGCTGCAGACTCACTTTAACACGGGGCACTCTGAAGACTACAGGCTCCACTGTGGTCTTGGTGAGCATCATTCCCACAGCTATTTCTACATCTCGCACGTTGCACTCGGTTTTAGGTAAAAAGGCCAGTCCCTGCAAACAGAGCACCGCATTAATCTCCTCCTCTTAGACTGATTCACTTATTAATAGGTCAAAACAAGGAAGCTTGTTACCTTATGAGGCTCAGGAGAGTTAAAACTGCTGCATTCAATAAAATATGGATCTTCTGGGACCACCTCATAGATGTAGACTCTGGTGTCTCCCTAAAGAAGGGCAAAAAAACCCCCAGACTTTAGCCGTGATTTACCCTGCAGCCTTTTGCACCAATTTATCTCTTATTTTACTCACTTTTCCAGTGAGAATCACGACGCTGGTGTCAGGGTCGTAAAAAGGGATGAGTGTGGAGGGGGACACATTCAGAGCAGTACTGGCAACAGGCCCAGAGGACAGGGAGTCAGCAGAGAACAGGTAAAGTTCTCTTTCACTGCGACTAAAAAAACACAAGAAAGGGGGGTTAAATACCGAAATGACATGGGAGGGTCATAATTTACAATTAATGAAACAGCCATGATGCACAGTGTGAGGAAAAGCACAGAGCTTTAGCTGTTAGTACCTGTCAAATCCTGACACCAGCAGGTACTTTCCATCCAGCACCCAGACCACACGAGCCCCTCTGTGGCCCTCCGGACCCGGTCCTTCCTGGGAAAAAAACAAAGTAAACCAAATATCTACAAAAGCAGCTTTTCAATCACTGATTTCTGTCTCACAGTTCAAACAATAATGTCTCACATTTTGGGAAAATTACACAAAATGTATTTTGAAACACTAGTTAACTGTGCTGGGTTCAAGTATCTTGTAATATTATCACTGTTCAACCACAAACATTGGTTCATGAGTTGATTTGATAGATCAAACAGTGCAAAGCATACGTCTGTAGAAGAAAGAGATTGCAAACAGTTTTTTTTTTATATAGAAACAAAAATAAAAATGAATACAAGTGTAGACATGAAGGTATTTGAATTATAGAATTGGCATTCACTGCAATTATACAGCAAGTTTGTCCCTACCAGCTTTACACACCCGAAGACATGCCTATTATTTTCTCAGATAGGAACGGGAGTTTTTAAGTTTTACTTCACCATTACTAACTGGATTCAACATTAATGTGCATGTAAAATAATAAAGTAACTGAATGAAATGGATGGAAGTAAATGAGCTCATTAAAAGCATGAACTTCCTTTTATCTACATAAACAGCTGCATTGTAATTCTGGCTCCATGTTCTGGGCTTCCGTTCTGCAGGAAGAAGATCCTCCAACAGGTTTTCTTCTAGGATGCCTGAGTAAATTCCCAGTCATCCGGTTCATGATAACCACAAAACAGGCTTAAACTGGAATGCAACCGTAATTTCATTCAGTTTTTTTTTTTTTTTACGCGTCTTCTTAAGTTCATTCTAACTTAGGCGACTTGATTTGCATCTGACCTGGAATGTGCTCAGGATTGACCTCCATGCTGCTTAAAAAAATCTGCACTGTCGAAACATCTTCTAAAAATGGAGCGGCTGCCTTCCAATTTGAGCCTGTTTAGTGATTTTTCTACGACTATGACTTTCCATCGATTATGGAAAAGCATCCCACAGCATGATGCTGTCTCCACCGTGTTCAGATGGTATGATAATCCACAAATCTGTGGCTAAAGGTGTCCTTTACATCATTTGGCACTTCTTATGACCTTCTTCTAAATCTGGATTTCTCTTTGCTTTTTTTTTAATGAAGACCATTGTCCTGCCTACATATTCTCTCACCTGAGTATTTGATTTCTGCAGCTCCTCCAGAGTTTCTTCTTTCTCCTCATTGCCTGGCTTGCTAATTTTCATAGACGACTACCATCTTGAAAGTTTGCTGCTAAGTTTTAATCTCACCACTTTTATAAAGCAGTCCTCTGTGAGACATTAAAGGTATAGTGGAGGATTGTTGCGGATTTTTGAAAAGACCCGCCTTCTCCACTTAAAAAAAAATGCCCCAAGAGGGAATGCCTATTAAACGCGTGCAAGAGCATGCAAAAGCCCATTTCTCCTCGTGCACACTCTGTTTAAAGTTACTGTTTGCATCACTTATAAAAGCTTAATTTCCAAAAGAAGATCTGCAATTTTCCCACTATGTCAGTAAGTGAAAATGGGAACGAGCACATAGGACGACCTTATGTAAACATATCACCAGAATAATTGACTATTAGGACCACTTATTTTGATGATCCACTCGGAAAAAGAAAGTGCTTAACTATACCTTTAAAGGCTGTAACTCTGCTTTTAAAACATGTTGTCCCTGAACTGTCTTTTATTTATTTGTGCTGTTTGTTCACTGAGGTTCTCTAACAATCCTCAACAGCCTTAAAAGAACATGGAAGTGGAATTTATTGTTGGGATCAGAGTTAAAGGAGCTTAAGACAAAAACAGGCCACATTTTTCAGGTTTGTATTTGTCATATACATTAGTAAAAAATTAATTTCTACATGCTTTGTCGGTCATTTACATATATTCAAAATTCCAGTCAAGTTTGCACTGCAAAAAACACCTAAAAATGAGCAAAAATTTCTTATAATAACCATATTTACCCTTAATTTGAGTGGGTAAATAAAATGATCTGTCAATGGAACAATTATTTTTACTCTTAAAATAAGATAGATATTATGCACTTGAAATAAGAGACTGTAGTTGTTTTTTCTTATTTTAAATAGCGGTAATAATTTCTTATTCCACTGGTAAAGTGTCTCACCTGCTCAATCCAAGAAGAAAATACTTACTTAGATTTCTTCTTTTTGCAGAGTGTCGTTTTTTTTTACAACACAAGCTAGATTATTATTTCTAATCTTTATTTAGTTTGCCAACATCATGCCATACAGCATTTATGTTAATGCATACTTGCACAGGTGATGTCGATTTGCGGGGGTCATAGATGCGAACTTTCGCATCCTTGCAAACAGTTGCCAGCAGCTTGCCGTCAGGGCTCCATGCAATTCCAAACACCTAAGCAGGAACATCAGGATAAACCAAACCATCCATGAGAAATTTCCCTCCGCTTTATAAAAAACACATCTGCATGTCCATATTTTCAGTCAAAACACCGACCAACCTGGTCCTGATGTCCAGTGAGAACCTTGACCTGCTCCCCGCTCTCCAGGTTCCACAGTCTGACTGTGAGATCGTAGGATGAGGACACCAAGACTCCGCTGGCAAGAGGGTGAAACTTGATGGAGTAAATCTTCTCAGTGTGACCTAGAGGGAGTAAAAGAAGTCCTTACATTAATCTGCCATACTGTAGTTACTGTCAACCTGGGTCAACTGTCAACATGAAGAGTCAAGGACATGTTTTTAAATCACTGCTACTTGATATTTATTACTGAGTAGCTGAGAAAATAATTTATAAATCTTCCCTGATTCACTGTGAGTAGGACTGTGCAGTTTTATCCAAAATGTTTAGTAAATTGCAGGACATCAGAGAAATGGGAGTCAGAAAGCAAGATCTCTGCAGTAGCATCCACATCTCCCTCTCTATACCTCTGTTCATCTTTTTTTTTTTTAACTTCAGCCCATTCAATGAGCCACTACAAGCCTAAATAGTTGAAATCTAAGTAAATTAGTAACTTATTTACTAAGTAAAACTAAGTAAATAAGTGCATTTGTTCTTGAATTGAGCAGATAAGAGAGAATATTTACATTATAAACAAGGAAAGACAACTACAGCCTCTTATCTCAAGTGCATAATATCAAATTATCTTATTTCAAGGGTAAAAATACTCTTACCATTCATAGATAATCGTATTTAGGGTAAATTAAGGGTAAATACACTTTACTTAGAAATCTTTGTTCAACTTTAGATCCTTTTTTTTTGCAGTGTATAAATAAATTTAGATTGACCTTGTGTCACCATGAAAAATGACCTACCTTGTAAGACGAGCTCAGGCTCAGTCAGGGTGTCTTTCAGCCCACCTTTAGGTACCTGCCACAGCCGGATTTTAGCATCATCTCCAGCTGGAAGCAAAGATTCAAATATACACTCAGAGAACATACTCTTGGTTCTATGGGCAAATGAAACATCTGAAAGTTACATTTTATTCTGTAAGGATGAGGTTTCTATTTGCATTAAGGAGTCACTCACCCACTGCCAGTCTGTGTGTGTCAAAGGGGTCCCAAGACAAGTCGGCCACGTTTACAGAGTTTTGGATGGTGGGTAGAGCCGAGTCAGGCTGCCGCCCTGGCCCAGAGCGCTGAGGAGGAGAAGGAAAGTAAAAAATCAGCTTAAAACATTACAGGAAGATACAAGCTATACTGTAGTTCAACCACCTGCAATACAGCTGCTGAAACTGCTGAGGTTCTGATCTGCATGTCGACATTGTGGCGTACCACAAGGCTGACAACAGAGCCCAAACAGTTTACTAAGTTGGTTAAAGATGTATGTGATGAAAAATAACAGTTAAGCTCTCACTGTATGAGATGATACTATAGTTAGTATCACCTGCAATCCCTCACATTATAGGTAGTGTGAGGGATTGCCTTTAATTCAATGAGTCGATGCAATCAACTGGTTTTTCTTAGAAAACTTTGAATCAATTTGACTGTATGATCTGGTTGAATTGTAAAGTGCCTTGAGATGACGTGTTGTGAAATGGCACTATATAAATATAGTGAATTGAGCTGAATACTAAGACATGGATACTTGATAATAAGACAGAGGAAAATTCATCAAACTAACCTAAATGTATTTGTTTTGCATTCAGAAAGCAATAATTTCAATGCTGTGGTAAATATATAGGATTAAGTTTTTAAAAACAAATCTCAGGGATCATAATAAAGAGCCGAATAGTTGCCGCACAACGATTCATTCAATACTGTATACAGTTGGCCCTATTACATTATATTAAGCATACTGCATTACATTATTTTCACTAACATCCATGTTTCAACCATCCATAAAATAGCAATAATTTACCAGGAAGGACACAGATTAGAAATACATAGATCCCTGCTGATTCTACCTCAGACAGGAAGATGATTCCAGAAACTGCATCAAAAACAAAGGATTCAGGGAACAGTTTGAAGGCAATTTTCCCCCTTTAGGCAGGAACTAAACATCCCTGCTGAAAATAAAAGAATCTTCCAGCCCAATTCGTAGACTTTTTGCAAAAATACATGCCTGATTCCATATACTGCAAAAAAAAAAATGTAGATCAAAATAAGTATTTTTTTCTTAAAATAGGTGCATTTTTCTTGAATTGAGGAAGTAAGTGATACTTTGCCAACGAAACAAGACAATTTACATTTAAATTAAGAAAAAAACAATGCATTGTCTTATTTCAACAGCATGTTATCTAATTATCTCATTTCAAGATTAAAAATACTTATTCCATTGGCAGATCATCTTATTTACCTACTCAAATTGAGGGTTAATACATACAATTTAAGAAATATTTACTTATTTCTACATTGTTTTTGCAGTGTATACTTGTTTGCTTGTTTTTACATTGTGGATGCTTGTTCTTAGTGTTTTGAACATGTCTGTGTATTATATTTGCATTATGAGCTGGTATCTCAAAGAAAAATCTCATTATGGCTACATAATAACAATACAGGCTAATGATTTTGCTAGTAAAGACGGTTTAAATTTCTTGTTTCTGAACAGATACATGGAGGTTTGATGGAAACTTTACCTCAAAAACAGCAATCTGGCCTCCTGAGATGGCGAGTGGCACCGCAACACGTTGGCTGTTCACACAGAAGCCGTCACACTCTCCTGGTGTGGTTAGATTCAGGTTGCGGATGTTGGTGATGTGCTTGTCCCGGTGCATCACCGCACCCTGGATATGTCGGAATTTGGATGTTGGTCCTAAACAAAAAAAAGCCAAGAAGTTAAAATCTTCAAAGTAAGAATATGGATGGTAGAAATCTGGTGTCATTTTTTTACCCATCAGGTTTTGGATTGCCTTAACATTCTGGCTTGGGCTAGGGAGGAAGCCTGAGGAGAGACCAGACGTAGAGGAAGGAGAGCGGGATGGGGCAGCACTGCTGCTGGGGGTGCTTATTGGACTACTGGAGGAGGAGCCACGAGGCTGATCCTGTAAAAACAGAACAGTGACGATTGTTTTAAATTCTTCAAATGTGCTCCCTGCTTTAGAAAAAAAATTTAAAAAATCCAGGTTTTACCTCTTTATTTCCTCCACTGGGTGGCTCCTTCTTAACTGGTGCTTGTTTTGCTGAGGGTTTGGGTTTCTTGTCAGGGTGCAGGCTAACTTTTCCCACCTTAGGACAAACAGAGCTCCTCATTAGAGCTTTCTACGCAGCTTTAAGGCTATAGCCACCTATTGTGATTGAGGTTCTATTACCTGCTTTTTTCCCCCCTGCCACCACTCCTCTGCAGACATGGCTGGAGTCGTGCCCACCGTATCCGGGTAAAGGTCATCATGAAATTCATGGCCTGAGTTCTAAGCAAACAGGGCATCCATTTCAAAACAGAGCAAGAAATCGAGAGAAATTCACCGGTTTTAATTCTGCAGTAATTCTGTACCTTGCGGGGGACTTGGTAGCTGATGGGCACGATGCAGCTGTCTGTCAGCTGAAGAACACGCATGACTTCACAGGACAGGACATCCAAGGCCAGTTTTGGTACCATGGCGACGCCTCTTGTTGAAGCATCAGTCAGGCAGTGACTCACTAAGAGAAAATGAAGAAAGAGAGAGAACAAACATTTAAAGAGGAAATAATAATCTTTAAGCATGCAGAAAAAATCCCCAAGTATCACCTTGAGTTAAGAAAGGCTCAGAGGCGGAGACTTCATAGCACTCAACTGCAGTGTCTCCCTACAGGAAAGAGAAAAGTGTTATAAAACAGTATTTCAACTTGATCTATAAATAAAAGCAAAACCAATGGAATTATTCTACAGCTTACAAAGCCAGCGAGCAATAGGAGGCCAGTGTCATCATCCAGCAGAGGGACCAGCATCCTGGAGATGGAGACAAAGAGGGAGGAAGAGAGAAATCACTTTTTGATACTTAAGATTGCACTTTAAAACATGTCAGCGAAGTTTGACCAGGTTTGACCACAAGATGGTGGAATTGGCTCTGTATGCAGTTAAACAGGGAGATAGTCGATGAGCAAGAATGCAGAAACTCCTTTAAATCTTCCACAGACTTAGACTTGTTTACCCCCCAAAAAGATATTTATTATTCTACTGTAAAATACTGTAAAAATTATGCAGATGGAAAAAATTATTATATACAATGCATGATATACAACAGCAAGGACTTCTTTGCCCTTGAATTCCTCAGGTCCTGCACTGAAAATTAGTGAACGGACAAAAGTAAGATTTAAAAAAAGGTTTTAGAAAGCTTGAGCATATATAGATCAAAGCAGCCCTACATGTTTGTGAGAAAATATGGCTACATTTTCAGAAGCCATTTTCTGGAAAATACTCTTTAAAATGGAATAAAGAAAAGAAAAAGCATATTTAACTAAAGTTAATAAGAGCAAAACAAAAGATTAAAACAGTGGTGTGAAGACTTTTTTTTTAATGGCAACCAGTTTTCTGGAAGGTTTACCAGAAATGAAGCTGTTTCTGTCTTACATCTAAACATAAAAAATTGAAGGATGACTACGAGAAAGACCACTTGTAGAGGATCTGTGATGCTGGGGGCCGGTTCCCTTTCCAAAAGCCCTGAGATTCCAGAAAAGGCTGCAAGGCATCATAAACCCTTAAAACAGCTGGATACTAATAATCTTAAACATGTGGGCAAAGATAACACAGAAATAGACCACTGGATAGAAAATCAACCTTGTGCTGTAAACTAAGGAAAGGAGAGTAAAAATGGACAGATGACTCTGAATGATCCCAGGACATTTAGCTAAAAGGAATGATCAAACATTGCTCCTTATGTTTTCCCGTATGCTCCAAACAATTGTGAAATATTATAAACAACTTAGCAATTTCTCTTTTTTACAAAGTATTATCAGCTTTTTATGTCAATAACTTTGCCAGAAGCGATCAATAATATTAATTTTCTGCAAAATATTACAGATAATATTGCTCTAATAAAGGATTTGTTTATCTAGAGGCTTTTTACACGTCTTTACTAGGATTGTAAATTATTGAGGTTTGCACAGTAAAGTGCTAATTAGGATGATTTTCAAGGCACTAAAAAACAAGTCCAAATAGTTAACTGTATAGCATACATGCAACCAAACAATGTATTGTATGTGTATTGGATAATATTGCATTGAGAATGTTATCATTTCTAGAGTTATATCAGGAATTTTGGATTTTATTTTAATTAAAACAAGGACTAACAAAGTAAGCTCAACGGGACAAAAAAAATCAAAAAGAGAAACTACATAGAGATCGTTATGAATTGTTTATAAACCAATCATTTCCTGCTCGTACACTCCAACTGTCACGCACACAGGTCTACACAAGCCCACAGTCACCTGCTTCCTCTCATGATTTAGGCTAAGAGGATTGAGGGCCGCAGAACTGAATGAGGAAAGTACATCTGGGTACCAAAACCAAACAGGAAATATTTCCACAAACAGCTGAGGTAAAGCAGGCAACCCTTCCTTATTTTCTCCCCTCGTTCTATTCTAAGAGCTACACTCAGACTGGGTTCTGATTTCCTGGGCAGGTCTCCATCGGAATAAGAGCGCAGGTTGACTGAAGTGGAGAGAACCACTTCCAGAAAGCGTTTTATGATGACAACGTTGTGCAACCCTTCTATTCCAGGGTTGCTTGATGCTGACAGACTGATGATGCAATACTCCAAGGATGACAGTATAATGACAGGGTTAGTTCGTTTGCAAAGCGACAACAAATGGGGACATGCAAGGGATTTTTTTTTTTTTTTTAGTAGCAAAACATCGGAGCATGTGACAGCATGTCATGGATGCTTGTATGAAACTACGAATTAAAAAGTACAACGTTAGTTTCCGTATGGAAAGAATTCATCTGGTAACATTTTCATTTTGCTCTTACTGAGAAATGTGGCTCGATGCAGAGTGGCGTAACCTGTAAGGCACAATTAGAGAAAAAAGCTTGTATATCAGTAGCTCCAAGGTATTTTTTATTTATTTGCTTTACTGCATCCAAAATCAATAGGGAGCAGTTCCCTTCCTTATGAAGTCTAAGAATGAGCGCTTAAAGGAAAATTCACTGTACAGCATGAGTTTGAATGATAGACTGGCAGTTTAAGATGTGGTTACTGTTATAAGGAGAATAGTCAAGAAAACACAGGCTGAGCCTCATCTATCTTTAGATACTTAGATGTGACTTCTATCGCAGAGTGTCAGAGGAGTAGAAGAAGCTGATAACGGAGGGCTGATGGATGGATGGCTTTGCATCATGTTGGGGAACAAAAATGAACTCATCTTGAATGTGAATAAAACAAGGGAGACGATTTCAGGAGAAAAAGGAATAGATTAAACACTATGTCTATCATGGGAGATGGTGTGGAGAATGTAACCTGGTCTGCCATCATCTGTCGGCATAGCAGATCAACAACCTTAAACCAAGTAAACCTGCAATTTTTCAAAGATTCAGTTTCATATTTCTATTCAGATCAATTTATGGATGATTATTATTTTTAGCTGTTTAAGTTTCTAATGTTCTTTTTAGCTGGTAAAATTGGGCATATGTTTGGTTGTGTGTATGAATTCTCCAACAGGAGATTTAGGAACTTTACTAATATTTTTCAGTTCTTTTGTGTTTTGTATGTTAGTTATTTTCTCCTCTACCTGGTTCGACCTCTAACTGTTTGAGAATAGGTGACGGTTCTGATCCGAGCCTTCCTTCTAATCTCTTCGCCCTCTGTCACAAGGCAGTGAAGTCAGCGAGGGGCAGCCACGCTTCATTAGGTCGAGTCTCTATTCCCATGTCCCAGTTCTTCTGCAGGGAGACCCCTAAACGCCTCCACTCCCACACTGCTCTCCGACAAAAACTGCCTTTTCCTCCTCAAAACTGCCTTATTATCAATTAGCTCTCCAATTTGTCTTCTAGGTCTTATCTCTGCTTTTCTCACAGTAAAACCGAGAGGTAAAACAGCCACGTAATGGGAGCAGAGCTTTATGGCTGATTGTGGTCACTGTTTACTGTCGTTTTCATGCTTCACCTCCTCACCAGCCCATTTTCCAACACAGCAAAACACACAAATGCATGCAGGTGCATATTTACACACACAAGTGTACAAACTAACATGCATGTAAGTGTTAATAATGCTAATCTAATGACTTTGTGTTGCAGTTCAGAGTACAAATCAATTAAGGTGTAGGTTGTGCAAACTTCCTTCATGAAGGTTAATTCTGAATGGAAAATCTGAAGGTATAATAACCTTTATTCTGAAAAGTCAGAAGCATTAATCTGCAAATAAGAGCTCTGTTTTTGAGATATGTTAATTAATTTTCCACCCCAGTCATGAACATAAGTCATTAGGTAATACATCAAAATCTAAATTAAACAAACAGCATATCTAAGGTGTATCTCGCCTACTAACCTCAACACATCATAAACCTCCACAACCATCTGCAAATAGCCTTTAGAGGATCCAAGCAACTTGACCGCCTTCTGTTTTAGCTGACATCGCCTCACGCCGCCCATCTAGCGCAGACACTGTAGGAATGATCATAAAAAGAGACCTTCTCCCTCTGACAGCAGCCTTCAGCACCAACAGATATGATGGGTATATTAATCCCACCTGCACTCGTGTGTATGAGTCAACAAGGGTGAATTAAGATCACAAGAAGGTGTTGTCATTTAATAATGTGTGAGTTAGTGGTAACCAAAAATTTGATTTGTAAAGAGCCCAGACAAGTAGACACCTTAAAAAGAAATAGAAAAGTAAAACTTGTGTGCATCTTTTGAATCATATTATGTTATGTTATTAAATCTGGGAACCTTATTTAATGTTGATTTTATAACCCTCTTTTTTTTTT